CTGTCTAGTAAGACCAGTGAAAAGCCCTGCCAGTCACTCCTTGGGATCTTGCTAACTGTATATTCTCTCTATTACATTTTGGCATAACACTAATCAATTTACTTCTCCACTTTATCTCCACTTCTGTGCTTTAGAAGATTTCTGCAAAATTCCCCAAAAGTTTAAAAAGCTAAAAAGCTAACTTCCCTAACTGTGGGAAAAAACAAAACCTTGAATATATGCAAATCTCCTTGGAGGTGGAAAAAATATTAAATTTGTAGAAATCTCCCCAGTGGTTTAAAAAATCTACAAAATTCCTTTACAGCAGACTTCTGAGATTATGCTATAAAGCCCTATAGGATTTGTTCTGGGAGTGGGTGAAAAGAGTGGGTGGCAAGCTGTAGAGCACCAAATTGTATGTCAGGAATAATGTGGGTTGGCAAGAAAGCAGGCAACCCACTTGTGCTTATTTCAGGGTACTTTACTGTGATGTGTGAACTGACCCATTGGCTTGCCTTCTGCAACAATTTCTTTTTTTTAATGCCCACACTGGTTTCTTTTTGCTGTGATAATTGCATCCACGATGAGTAGGTAGATTAGCAATCATCACTGCTGTTAAACTATTTTCCATCTCTGAAAATGAATGTAGCAATTTCTTTATTCACTTGTATCAGGTGGTCTCCTTGACCTCCCACCAAGTACCCTATTGCCCCCCAAAGGTTTATGGAGGGGGGCTGGCTTTCACCCTCCTCCAGTCATTTTTCAGTAGCAAGTAATTTCCCCTCCCTATTCAAGAGAATGAAGTCATACTTCACTGGAACTGGGGGAGGGGGTGTACTTCCTAAAAAGGGCAGGAAGAAGGGCAAACCCGAACCCTGCACTCAGGGCAAATTATCCTTGGTGAAACATTTCTAACTCCATGCAGTTCCCAACATAACAACTTCTACTTGTCCTAAGCAAATGAAGAAATGGCTCCATACACTTACAGTGCCTTGCTGAAGCATTTACACTTTGACTTGGCATTGTTACTACTTGATGTATATAAGATAACCAGTACTTGGAAATGCAAAATATTTTTATTGTAGAAGAAAAGTCATGTAAACAAAAATAAACCTGTTGGTTGTAGAAGTATTCTCCTCCCCTCAGTCAATAAAAACAACTTTAGCTGCAATTACCCATATTTGGTCTTCTTGAGGAGGTCTTTACTAGCTTTTCACTTCTGAATCCTGCAATGTTTGCTTATTCTTCCTTGCAAAAGAGGAAGCTGGACAAGGGTTTTTGCTGAATAGCAACAGTCAGTTCTTGCACAAGCTTCTCAATCAGACTGAGGTCTGGGCTTTGTCTTGGTAATTCCAACACATTCAGGGACTTGTTTCAAATCACTGTTACTTTGCTGTGTGTTCAGCATCATTGTCCTGCTGCAGGGTGAACCTCTGCTCTAGTCCCAAGTCTCTTGCAGACTGAACCAGGCTTTCCTCTACAATGTCCTGTGCTTGGCTCCTTCCATCTTGCCCTCAGTCCTGACCATTTTCCCAATCCTTGCCAAAGAAGCCATGGTGCTGCTACCAAATGTTCTTATAGCAATTAGTACTGTTGGCATTGGGCCTGACAGTGTTTTGCAACACGGCTGAAATGCCTCCCAGAGAAACTTCCTTCATGTTTGCCGTATCTCCCACATGCCTTTTTGGAAACCAAACAGGTGTTGCTTTCGGTTTCTTTAGGCTAGGGCTTTCTACTCTCTAGTTTTCCATAAAGCCTTGCTTTGTGGAGCAACTGAGTGATAGCTGTTCTATAGATTGTTTTTCCCATCTCAGCTCTGGCTCTCTCCAGTTTTCTCAGAGTTATTACTGGGCTCTTTGTGTTGCTTCCCTTACAAATGTCTTCCTGCCTCAGTCACTGAGTTTTGGTGGACACCTTTCTCTAGGCAGTCATAGTCGGGCCAAAGTCAGACTGCTTTGGGATCTCAATCCAGACCTCCAGGGTTACCACCCTTCCCCTTGGTTGAAACGCCTCTCTAATGGCTAAGGGTGAGATCCTATGGAGATGAGCCTCTGCATTTGCAGGCTTATACTCATGTTCATCCAATGCAGGGTGGGATGAATAGCAAAAAAACCCCCCAAAACAAAAAACCTCTGCCACTATGCATTTTCACCTACCTAGCTGGTGTGCCTTGAAAGGTTGAGGAAGGAGGCTGGAGTAGCTTCAGGATATTTCTCATCCCTGTCCCCAAAATGTCCCTGCTCCTCCTCTCTCTGAAGTCACTTTCCCAACCCTGTAAAACAACTGGCATAATTCTTTTTGTATTAGTTATGAGGTAGGAGAGTCAGAACTCCCATTTGACTCAGAGGTTCAACGGCAGTCTCCAACCTCAGATTTGGGAATTCATTGTATATTAAATCTTCTCAGAAGCTGTTGAAGGCCTGTAGGAATGCTCCCTTAAAGATACTGGAAAATTCCTTCTTATTTGTGCAGGCTTTGGGTGTTACATGAGCTGCCAATGGTTTAATCCTTGCATTGTTACTTTACATTTTTTCTTTTACTACCTTTTGATTCTTAGGATCAAATAATGGTTTCAGAATGCTTTTAATACATATTTAACATCACATATTTCTTGCACCTGAAATAACACTGCCATATTACTTACGCAGTTAAAAATTTTACCAAAGAAGTAGCAAAACACTACAAAACTCACATTGTACCAGCAGAAGGGTCTATTTTGCCTCACAACATATATTTTTCTTATCAAATTTCAAATAGTATTTTTTTAAAATACAACTATCTTATTTGATACCTACCAACATTTGCACCAAAGCTGATGCTGTACTGCCACCAAGAGGCAGCAAATTAACTAGTCCTGGCTAATGATTATTTCCATAAGAAATATAGTAAGCTCAGCATTGGAAAATTTGTCCATAGTTAGTTTTAGATTTCAAAAAACAGACAGGACGTTTATATTGTTTTTGTCTAACTTTAGTTTCTTTCTAAAATTCAAGAGATGTAATTCCTTTGCAACCAAATTGGAGTGCTTCATTAAATGGACTAGCCAGCTATTTGTGTTATGGTCAGTAAGTGGAAAGAAAATGCTGCAGTGCTCAAGGAGCAACAGAAGATGACAGAATAAAGATGTTGCTGGCTGTTCCTACTTGCTGTTATTAAGTCAGAGGAGGTAGTGGCTGCTTCTCTTTAAGCTGAAAATGACACACATAACAATGTCACTTATGTGACTCAGTCTTTCTGTGAAGAATAAATGGCACACAAATCTACAATATGACAATCGGGAAGCACAATCTCATACCATTCTGCTGCTGACTAGAATGAAATTGCTCAAGTCGAATTAATCAGCAAATTTTATTCTGCTTAGAACTTAAGCAAAATCAGAGCATTATCTCCAACAACAGGTGTTAAAGCAGCATTGCAAATTGTTATTCCCCTTTATTTCTGTTGTGAATAGCTACTGTGCTTATACTGCAGCGGTAATACATTTTATGGCCTTTGCAAGTCTTTCCTAGACTTTACTGATGCATGCATGTATATGCCAACCAAGGATATGATGAAATGGTTCTGATAAACAAAAACAAGTCAGATGCTGCAAAATTGTGTTCATCATAAAATCAATAATATGAAAGAAAGTATCTCAAACATTAGGCAATTAATCTAGAAAGTTAACGAAAAAACAGGTAATATCCAGGGTAAAACAGAACAAATTCCAAGACAGGAAAAAGTACCTTACATAGGCTTAGAAAATATAAGTTCAAATGTCCTATTTAGGCTTTAAATCCACAGTCAGAGGGAGGGCCATTGTGTTCGTTACATGCTTAAGTCTTAAAAGTAGTATTAGACAAACATTATTGCAGCCAGACCAACTACCTGACTTTATTGAAAACAGTTCATCGACTGGGTTTCGGTTAGGTTTTACAAGAAAGGTAGTAATACTTAAGATTCTTTTGGAGGAGGGGCTGCAAGCCAATCTCCCTCTTGCACTAAAATTGCGCCTGTCCTTTCCCAAGCCTGAGACAGGACAATTCTAAAGCAATGGCAGAGAATGAGATATGTAAAATTTATAGGCAAAAAGGCCAGGGAGACGATTGTGCCTCTTTGGCCAAATGGGTATTTTTTCTCAGGCGAGAAACAGAGCCATAGGATTTTTCGGAGTTGCAGCTCCAAAGTCAGAAGACCTAGGAGCTGGGATCCCGCAGCCGGCGCGGAAAGTCTCCAAGGTCGCAAAAAGCAAAATATTCTGTAAAAGTATGTTAAAAAAATAAGTGGCAGGGAGGTCTGGTCTCAGTCCCCTCCGGGCAGCGGGGAAAGGACAAGCTGCAGCCAGTCCCATCTTCTTTGGGCAGCAGAACGAGAACAGGGCTCGGCCGGCCGAAGCAAGCACGGGCCGCCACCACTTCCGCTCAGTTGTCCTTCGCCTCTCTCAGGGCAACGCAGTGAGAACGGCTGGGCTTGATGCCCCCGATCCACGCCGCTCCTGCCGCAAACGTGAGAGTGCAGCCCAAGGAGAAAGAGGATCAAAGAAAGAGGGGGCGGGAAGCTCGCTGCTGCCGCGCCCAGGAGGAGGGCGAGTGCGCAGCGCCGACACCTCTCCATCGCTCTCACTGTCTCGGCGGCGTGAGGTGGCCCGGCCCGGCCCCCACGCCGCCCAGGGGACGAGGCAGCGTTCGCGCAGAGCCCCTTCGCCGTCTTCCTCGTCTGCACTCCCGCGGGAGGGGAAGGCTGGAGGTGCATGTAAGAGGAGATCGGATCGGGAAGCCCCCCGTTGCAGAGGCAGGTGGCCCCCTCCCCACTGGCTCGGAGGAGGGCTGTAGAGTTCAGTGCTTACGAACAAGGTAGCAAACGGGAAAGAAGTTTCTCATTAAAAAAGCAAGACCGCCTGCCTGTTCTGACGGCGAGTGTGTTTCTATAGCGCCATCTACGTACGTGGCGCTCTGGAAAGAACAGGCACAGCTAATCTTGCGGCGTTGCCGCTGTTCCCCTCCCCTCCCCTCCGACCAACGTACCAGCCCCGCCCCCGTTACCTTGACGATTCCCGTCATCTTGGCCAGCAAAGCTGCGAACTCCTGCGCCGCCGTCTCTGGGTAGAGCTGGTCCCGCAAGAGCTTCTCTGTGATCTCGGCGTTGCCGTAGTAGGTTGCCTGGGCGATGCCATTGAGCAGCCCAAGCAAGGGCTTGGAGGCCTCGGGTGGGGGATGTTCCGCGATAGCCGCCATCTTAGGTAGGAATGCTAGGCCACAGCCTGGGAAGAGGCTAGGATGGGAACTGGGCACGGACAAAATAAGTCGTCGTAACGGCGCTCGCCACCTCTCTAAGTTCGGTAGTGACCCCTGCTGACGATTTTTATAGCAAGAAAAGGGCTTCGGTTTTAGCACCCTGGGCGCGAGCCTTTGGGTAACGATAGGGCGTTTTCACTCATTTGTGAATACGGGCCCAAACACGGAAAAGAAGGCGAACATCTGAAATGCAGTCTCTTTCAAACAAGGTTCTCATTTACATTGCAGTCCGATTTAAGAAAAAGAATGGATTTAAAGCTTACAGCTTCAAGTACCGTTTCCTAATGGACATTCTGCAATATGAAGACGAAATGTATATCAACCAGAATGTGTGGTGGTGTTTCGTTTGTTGTTTTAAATAACAATTATTGTTTTCTTTATATTCCAAATTAGCAGTATTCGGTGCATTTTCACATAAATGCTGTTAGCTGCACTCTCTCCCATTTTTGTATGCATATTTGAACAGGACAAAAAGCCAAGGATTCATTTAATTTACATATCGCCTAATTGGCAAATGCCCTCAGGACAGTTTACAATTAAAAAAACAAACAAACCAATGTTCCCATCTGCACTTGTCTCACTTGTCCTCAGTAAAGGACATTAAACATTAAAGTCCTGTACTTCAACTGCAATTTATTTAAAGAAAACTGTATTGTCATTCTAATTTATCAAGACTGCAGTTTAGAAAAACGATTTTCTTGACATGACTGGCCCCCAGCCTGGTCCTGTGATTCTCCCTGGAAACCCAGAACAGAGCAAAGTGTGCCAAAATGAGCAAGGAGAGCAGTGTGTGCCAAAAAAAGAGACTAAGCCTTCCCCCTATAAGGGCAGTCCCCGGGTTATGGACGAGTTCTATCCCTGAGAACTTTATTTATTTATTTAAAACTTTTATTTCAAACTTTTATATGCCGTCCTTTATGTATGACATCTCAGGATGGCTTACAACATTAAAATCAGAATACACTAAAACAATACTTTTAATTTATTATTGTAAGCCGCCCCGAGGCTTCGGCGAATGGGGCGGCATAAAAAATGTTTTAATAAATAAATAAATGCCAGTATTAAAAAACAATATATAACCAATAAAAATAAATTAAAAGTGACTGTTAAAACCATTAAAATACTATTTTTTTTTAAAAAAATAATGATTAAATAAAAAGGTATTGACCTGGCTCCAAAAAGAACATCCTTAAGTTGAATTTGTACACAAGTCGGATCACGTGAGTAAGCAAAATGTTTTTCTTAGTATTTACCTATTTTACCTTTCTATGCTTATAAAACACTTAATCACACTGTAGGGTTTATGGAAGTCTGTGCATTCATAAGTACATAACCCAGGGACTACTTGTATTGCAACCCTCTCCCTCTGCCCCTGCCCCCTTGTTCTTCCCTCCCACTGCCTCCCTCATGCCAAGAAGTGACTCTGTCATAAAAACAAAAGAAATCTTGAGTGGAGTCAAGTTGCTGACATGACGTGGGTTGCACCTGGGAGCGAATCACTTGACAGGAGTCTCCTCCACTGCTCTACAGTGCTTTCCAGTGTCACATGGAAATGCCTCAGTTTCAAGGAAGGTAGCCTGTTTGCTCCCTGGTCCCTAGCCAGAGTTTTATGGTAGCAATTCTCTTTATTTACTCTTTATTTACCTTGCATTTAGACAGGGTTACCATTTCTCCATGGGTGATTCCCTTTGGAAGCTATTCCAGAAGATTTTGCTTGGCTGCCTTAATGCTAGCCTTGCCATTTGCAAGTGTCCCTGTCCTCACCTACTGGAAGAGGATGGGAACTGCTGTCAGAAACCCATTCACTAGAGGCTTGTTTCCTTGTTGGCATAGTGGGACTTGTAAGAAAACATGCATAAAATTGAGTTAGGTGACCTAAGTATGCATGGTAACCTATGCATACTTACAGTAATTATTTAAATTAATGAAAGAAAAAAAATGTACAAATGTATGCGTGCCTTACATGAATGTGCTGACTTTTGTGACAAATGATCTGGCTGAAAAGCCAGTAGTCCTATTTCAAACACCCTTGCAATGAATTTATAAATGTGTTGTTCCTGAAACTCAAGGAAACTCCAGAAGCAGATTCTGGCCTGCACAGAGCAAGCAGCTGCTGGTGCATTCACAAGGTTGTACATGTGTTTTGAGAGGCTCTTGGACAGCATTGGGAACTAACCAGGAAAAATTGGCCTGATCTGCTTTTGCAAGTACAATATCAGCTTGCTGTGCAGAAACCAGTAGTTGAAGCTTTTTCTTTTTCCCCCCATGCAGATAATTATTACTACTTTCTATTAAAGGCAGAAACCATTTTAAAGGCTGGTAACTCTGTTTTGCTGCTGTAAATGAACACAACACAGTAAATCTCCATAAGTATATTTTAAGTGCTGGTAGGTTTCTTTTCAAATAGCTCGAATGGACTACAATAGATCAGTAAAAATGTAACTTAAAGCATTATAATAAAGTACATCTAAAATGAGAAATTCTGAAACAGAGTTATTAACATTTGTGACAACTTGTGGAACACTGCTGCCAATGGAACCAAAGTCAGGACCCCAGCTTAGGTCATTTGTTTTTGAACTTGAAAGTGTCCAGTGCAGTTATTGACCCAAATCCAACATCTTTGTTATTATTGTTTATTTATTACATTTCTACACCATGAATAGCTGAAGCTCTCTGTGTAGTTTACAAACAGTATAAAAACAATAAAATGCAATAGATAAAAACAACGAACAAAAGTTTAAAATTAAGAACATTAAAACAGTTAAATACAATATGTTTTTGGGGGTGAGAAAATCAGATCAAGTGGAGTTATTCCAAAAAGATTAAATGTTCTTTTCTCAGCTAGAACATTTGAAAAAAGAAAAGTTAGAACCAGAATGAAATAAACATTAAAACACAAGTCATTTGTGCTGAAAAAATGGCAGTGGCTGGATGGTTTAGACTCCAATCCTAAATGCATTATGTGGAAATATATTCTATTGAACTCTGTTTTAAAGGTATTTCTGGCCACTAATTATGAAAACAACTCTCAGATTTAAAACATTGTTATGTTCTGGCAAGTCAGCTTATGGTGATCCATGAATGAGTGCTCTCCAAAATGTCCTGTCCTTGACAGCTGTGCTAAAGTGCTTGTCAGTTCATGGTTGTGGCTTCCTTTACAGAGTCAATCCATTTCATATTTGTCCTTCCTTTTTTCTTCTGCCTTTGATTTTCCTAGCATGATTGTCTTCTCCAGTGAATCTTGCCTTCTCATGATGTGCCCTAAGCATGACAGCTTTCGTCTGTCACTTTTTCATTTTTGCTTCTAGGGGAATTTCTGACTTGATTTGATCTAGGACCTACTTGTTTGTCTTTCTTTAATCCAGGGTATTTGCAAAGCTCTCCTCCAACACCATGTTTAAATGCATTGATTTTCTTCCTGCCAGCTTTCTTCACTGTCCAGCTTTCTCACCCATACCTAGTGACTGGGAATGCAATAGTGTGGATGAACTTGGCCTTAGTTTCCACTGATAAATACTTTGTGATCTTTTCTACCTTCATTGCTGTTCTTCCAAATACCAGTCTTTTTCAAACTTCTTGACTACAGTCTCCCTTTGAATAGACTACTTAGCCAAGAGATGCACAATCTTAATTATTGTTGACCTGAATGTTGTGTAATTGTTTTGTAGTTATAATTGTTGCTTTCTTAATATCCAGTTGCAGTCCTGCTTTTGTACTTTCTTCTTTCACTTTCATTGGGAATTGTTTCAGTTCACTGCTGCTTTCTGCTGGAAACACGGTATTGTCTGCATACCTTGAAGTATTGATATGTGTTCGATCCATTTTTACGCCTTCCTCTGATCCTAATCCTGGTTTCTTTATATGTTCTCTGTACAGATTGAACACATAGAGAGATAAAATACACTCTTATCTGACACCTTTGCCTATAGGAATCCAATCTGTTTCTCCATATTCTGGCCTAATGGTAGCTTCTTGTCTGCAATACAGGTTATGCGTCAAGATAATTGAGTGCTGAAGCATCCCTGTTTCTTTCAGAACCCTCCATGGCTTGTGATCCACACAGTCAAAGGGCTTGCTGCAGTCCATAAAGCACAGAGTGAGCTCTTTCAGTAAAGTTTCAATTGTAGGAATTAGATGAGTTTGTCTGCATTAATGCACACATATTTAGTTCTATATGTCAATTTCTAATTGTTACTATTATTCTTACTATTATTGGTTAGTTGTGTAAATCTTCCTAATAATAGTTTCAGAAGCATTTACATGATAATCACCACAGCATTATTATTCCCTAATACATGCCTGTAGTGTTGCATCTTCAGTAGGTCATAAATTATACATTGTTGCTTTTGTTGGCCCTTAAGTCACAACCAATGTCAGCTGAATTGGGATCTTTGCCTGCAAATGTTGTTTTATAATTCCACAAAATTGTTATTCAACTATTTTCTTTTCTTGCTTTTCTTTTTTGACAGAAGCTGCACAAATTAGTCTTATCATCATAGGTTATATATCTGAATACTTTCCCAGGTATCATGTTCTTTAGTTTAGTTTGTTTGAGATAAGATGGACACTGATTCAGATCCAAAGGTCACAGGATCTTGTAATAATGTAAAATAACTTTCAAAGAAGCAGTGTTCCCCTTGAAAATGTCCTATAATGCAAGCAGCTGTGCTTGAACTTCTTAAAAGCAACTATATTTCTAGTGTGTGTTTGGGGGGCAATTGTTGGACAGCAACTGATTTTACCAAAAGACCACCCTCTAAATTCCATCCCCAAAATGGTCTGTAGGCAAGTCCCTTCACACCCTTCCTTCATAGTTAAATGATCTACTGTAAGATCAGGACACATCCTTTTTGGGGCCAGTTTTGGTCCAAGAAAGGCGCAAGGATTAGTTAGACAATAAAATGCAAACACTTAAGGTGATACAATCCTTCCAGTTGTAAGGCATGAGTGCAACAGTATTTCCAATCTTGTTTAG